TAAAATACCCTATCTTATGTTTTCTTTTCCTCCAAATAATCTTCTTGTCAAGTAAGGACCAATCTTATTTGATATATTTCTGGTACACTTGAACTTGTGCTTTCATGGACACTATAAGAGTGCACTGTTTTACAGAAGCACGAACACTGATTCCAAGTATCTTCTTCCTCCACACGTAATAAAAACATCCTCTTTAAATGGCCACATCATACACTTATTTTTGACCATTCCCAATTACAATCACGATTTTTACAAATCGCCTTTAGGAAAACTAAAAATAAACAGTTTTGAATCATCTGTAAACACAATTATGTTGTATAAACTTACACATGAAAACTAATCATTATTCCCGGCGTATTAGCTTTCTTAGAATGACTATGAATATACAACAAGCCTTTTTGAATTAGTGTTTAGAATAATTGAGATAATAATAAATTTTAACTAGATAACAACACAAACGAAAAAAAAAACAAACAGATGTCAATTAAAGAGGGGAAGTGACAGCGAGACCTGGAAGATGTCTGCCATCTTGCCGTCGACAAAAATTTGGATGCGCACTCGTCGAAGCTCATTCTCCCACTTCCATATCTCTGGTTCTGACACACCCTGTACATTTCAAAATAATTTTAAATTATGCACATTGCCTTCCCACATATACCCATGAAATATTTCGTTTCTACATCTTTCCGTTGTCGTATAATCAACCGAGGCGAATGAGGTGCGCCACCCTGTATAAGCAAAGATTTTTTTAAAAAAATATCGGGAACTCCAGAAACGTCACTTTTTTTAGAGATTGGCCTGTAAGCTTGTTTTAAAGAAATTTTGTTTTACACAAAGTGTTCCTATTAACTCTCAATATGTTTCTTTTTTCTTTTGCATGAAGACTATTATAGAAACGCCTGAAATATGCTGCCAGGACAGTTTTTTCAGAAATATCAACAGTTACATAGACAAGAAGCTTTACTAACGAAATAAAAAATGTAAAATAACGCTATGAAAAATTTTGCCATTATAATATAAGTTACAAATTGAAGGGTCCAGGGGAAAAACATGATAAGCGCCATTTTACTAATTTTACAGAGGGGCACTCCCTCTATTTTTACTAGGCATATATAATAGGATTTAACAACTTATTTCCCTGCAGAGTTTATACATTTTGTAGGGACCTGTTAGACCTAATATTGTAAAATCCTAAAATTAAAAAATTGGCGCTTATCAAGTTTTTCCCCAGGATCCTTCAATTACAAATAACTAACCATAAACTGACAAAAAAGGAGGCGATTTCATTGTATGTATTCATTGTGTTTTATAGAATAGTTAAAAAATGAAAACATACTTGTGTGTGTGTGATTTTGTTACAACTTTAATGTAACTATTAAAACAGAAGACAAAAATTTCTATTGTGCTATATTTTAAAGGTCACTAACAAAAAAATCCGGTTAAACGAAGGCTTGTTCTAAGAAGAATGTTATGAGTCATATAAGTCAGATACTAGATGCATCATAATTTTACAAATTTCACAAGATTTCATTGATTTGTCAATATTAAAAATAATATCTTTAATCGGTTATTTGTTTTTCGAAATATCAACAGTCACATATTGAAGAAACCCTAATGTGGCAAAATAAATGAATATACAAACGTATTTTAAAGTTTAAGACATTCAAAAACACCTGTGATTTGAAGAAATTAATTATATAGTTTAATAAACATTAATGAATAATATCAAAATTATAATTTTGGCGAGGTAAAGCCCTAAATGTCATTACTTGGCCCGTGTATTATAATGAGTTGTTTCATTTAGTTTAATAAAAAAATGACTTAAAAAGTAATTAATATATTTCGTTTTGTCAAAACAATTTGAATATAGTGTGGAAAAAATATAAGATCATGTAGCAGCAACATCACTTTTAAAGAATAATAAATCATAAGTCGAATAATATTAATTTGTAATATATTTTTAAACTTTTTTTCTGAAAATCTGGTAGCTCTGATAGGTATGTAATACGTCTTTGAATAAGAAGACTAAGGAAGGAGCATATCAAAAATCTTAGGTACACCGCGATGGGCCTCAAATATGGCCGACTTAAATTCCGGTTTATCAGTGTCGTTCTAATTTTATTTAAAAAATGTAAAACTATGATGTAGGGTAGACGTGGGGTAGACTCACTAATTTGTTGTTTTATTTTACGTTGTGAATAAATGTTGGTAGTTATTAAAATTGTTATAAAAATATATAATTCTAATAAAATAGATAAGTTATAATAAGTATTTATTAACACAAACATCCGATACGCTACTGAAGCAGGTAAGTCAAATTAACGTATCTAAATTCTTTGACATCTAATCTTTGACAAGTAATAAATAAAAGCTAAAATGCAAGAAAAATATATAATTTAGTTAATTTAAGTGAATTTCATAAATGATCGGTTTACTACACGTATGTATATTATATAGTCACTTACTAGCGAAAAGTTGTTCCAACAACCACTTATCAAGACACTCAATCAACAACTATCAAGACACTAAAATAGTTGGTTGTTTCACAACCAACTATTTTAGTGTCTTTTTCGATAAATCGCGATAGTGTCACTGTTAATTTAAGTTCTGCCACAATTTCCATCTAGATTTACTACCTTTATACAACTATCAGTAGTAGAATAAATAATAAATAACATAAAATAATCAAATTCAAATGTGTCAAATGAATCGTCAAACAGAACTGTCAAGGATCCCCACCCTAGAGTGCTTTTATGGTGGTTTTTCCGCCCACCATGCATGAATACATGGATAGCATTATGCGCCTTCCTTAGTCTTCTTATTCAAAGTAATACGTTAGATATACAAGGTGTTTCAAAAAAACATGTGCCATTTCTCGCGGTGAGATTCCTCACGTAAAAATAAGATTTATTTTTCATAGAAACATAGGTCCGATTCTGCTTTGTTTCGTAGCTACAAGGTGTTAAAGTCTTAATCATTTTTTTCGATTTATTATAAAAAAAAACTAAATTATCACAATTAGTAAAATTAAGATAAATATAAAATTAATAAATTATATTTTATACCTAATTTATTATTAAATATTATTACTATTAGTTATTATTACTATTTGTTAACAACATACAGCAATTTCAAATTAAACAAAATAATGGTATTTAATATAATTATTACAAAAAACCTAATTTTAAAAAGTTTTAACATCCTGTGTCTAAGACTATGCATTCCCATACCCATGTTTATAGGAACTTTTTTTTCATATCTTTTGATGAGGAATTAATGACTACTTATTTAAAACGTTCGCAAATTAATGATATTAAAATGTTTTAAAGGTTGCTATTAGACCTGGATCAAGGCAAATTAGTAAAATTGCATTTATCTCATCAAGGAGACCGAAATCAACAAAATATGAAGAGGCATTTTTTAATCGGCATTAAACTGCTTACACTATTTCGGTAACAAGAGAAAAAAAAAGGCAGTGGCGTTCATTTTTTTTTGAAAAATATTCCAGTGATAACCCATATGCACGTCCCTGGTAAATATGTCGAAACTTTTTTAGCTTTAAAATATGTCGCATTTATAGTAAGTTTTACCCTCAAAATTTCATTCGAAACACTAAAAGTACTTATTTAGAAAATTATAATAAAACGAAAAAATGTTAAAACTTTAACACCCTGTACCTACGAAACAAAGCAGAATAGGATTTATATGAAAAATACATCTTATTTCTACGGGAAGAGTCTCCCTACGAAAGATGGCACATGTTTTTTGAAACAACCTGTTTGCATAAGAATAAGCTCGTTTTCCATTATTTTTAGGAGATATCAACAGTCATATAGTAAAGAAACCCCACTGACGATGAGGAGGAAGTGAATATAATATAATATCGTTTCGAAAATTCTAATAAAATCTGAAAACACATACAATTTTATTATATAATCCGAATTGCGTTCATATTCAGGTTAAATTTAATATAAATGTAACATATTCTTAAAAATAATGTATCGGATTAATGAAACAACATTTATTAGACTGTAACGTAAATGTCAATAATCTCCAATCTTAAGAATGCAGTTCAAACATATAATAAATTTGTATTGTATATCGATATTATATCATTTGTATATTGTAATTAAATTTTCCCGGTACTGACAATGGTAATTATTTGGTTGGCATGAATATTAAGTACAATATGTTGGGAAAAAAACCGCGTAAGCGATGGCTATGAAATGAAGATCGTTGTCATTTTATATGTAAAATTTTATTTGGAATATCATTGATGTTCATTTCCAATCCATCTGGACGCCGTTTTATTTTTCGATCATACGGTATTAAGCCAAGCGTAGCTGATAATCTAAAGCAATCTCGTTATTTATTTGATTTTTTAATAAGAAATATAATTCCATTTTTCCAAAAACTACAAAATAATGTATTATCTATTAAATAAACTTTACTTTGTCATAAAAATTTGAATAAATGATGCAAAAATTAAGGACCTTAACACAAAAATTCCTTGCCAGTGAAGCCATATATTTGAAGAATTTTATGAATTTGTAGTATTTTTTAAACCGCTGAAAAAAACTCTGACAATCTGGATCTTATTGTTAATATAAGTTATACTACAAGATTATTACACTATAAGATTATTTGTAGTTATTATTTTTTGGAATTTTTAGCTGTTATAGTGCAAAGGAATAAAAGACAAAAGGAAACTTACTAAAAAAACAATTTAAAAATAATACGTACTATGAAAATTTTAGCAAATTTAAAATCACAAATGAATTGAAAAGATAAACAAGAATAATCGCGAAAATAAATGCTTATATCTGTTAAAATTTAACAGTATTGTTAACTGTTAACATATGTATGAATTTTATGAATTGTTACATTCTAACCTAAACGTCGATATTAAGAATGTAGTTCAACTATATCAAAAATTTGTAATAAGACAAGAACAATAATAAAATGAAAGAAAGGAATCTAACATGCCAAAGGCGACTCACCTGCAGTAAACAAGGTCAGGAATAAAAATAGCAATTTTTTCATCTTAACACTATGGATTTGAACATTTTTTACTAATATTTTTAGGAAATTAACATCATATTTAATGCTTGGCTTGTCACCAATAACAATATCGTTATGCAGAGCCAGCCACGGCGGCTTCTGCGGCAACTTTTCGGTTCAACTTTCTAGTCTCTTATTCAAGAACGGCTGTGCTTGATTACAGTACGTATTGAAGAGATTTTGCATTGTCTATTACTTTTACTTTACGTTATTTTATTACGGAACACTGTCGTCGGATGACCGGTACTGCCGCGTTAACGGAAAACCCTTTATCTGACGCGTTGAAAAATTTAATTTTTTTAAATAAAAATGCATTAAAATATTTTGAAGGGATGCGACTCGTTACCCGCATCAACGGAAGCTTCACCGCTGGAAATAACTGAAATGTTATGTACAGGGTGGGCCAAATTGGACGCTTTTAAAGGGAAACACCCGGCCTTTTCTATAGGAGATAGACGAAAACTAATATCGGTGTCTGGAGCTCAACTTTTGTCAAAAACATGATGGCGAAAACCGCATATCGATATCTGCTACCGTTTCGAAGTTACAGTGTGTTTTTCAAAAATATGCATTTTTAACAAATCGCTGTAACTTTTTGGCTATGGAAAATTTTGTATTTTTAAGAAAATATATTTTTTTCAAATCAACTTTTTACGTAGAATTTAATAGTTTAAAAATATTTTTTTTAAAATTAATAATTTAAGAATTATAAACAGAAAATTTGCATTTTTTATTTCTTTAGATAATGAAAACAACTCAAAAAGTGTCAAATATAACGTTTATTATTCTAAATTATAGATAAATAGGTACTATTTCCTATAAAAATCTGATTCCTCGCTGCGTTGTAGCACGGCATAAACAGTTAATCGGTCTTTCGATCTTTTAATATGGATATGATTTTTCATCTTGATATTTTGCATATTGTCGTATCTAGAACAACAGATCTAAACTTTTTCCTGATATGGAATCACGGTGGTGAAATCACTGGAAAGCAGTAACATTTCTGGCCACATATCGTCAAAAAAACGTGCTTCGTGCCCTAATATGAGTTTATCTAGCAATTCATAACTTGCTAAAAATTCTGTCTTCGTTCGTGAAATATGAAACAGGTGCGTAATCATTTCGTTGTTGTATAAGCCAGTTACAATGGTATAGTTTTTCCAACGATTCAGGAAAGATTCCGACAGATATTATCCAAAAAAATGGTAGAAAATACAATTTAGCTGTGATTTAAAATGATAGACACGAGTGTTACTGTTGCGGATCCCCCCATTGTATATACAAGTTTCAAGTTTAGATTATTCTTCTTTTCTAAATTGTTTTTATTTGCCTTTAAAGCAATACGTCATCGATAATGCTATTCCCAACTGGCCTTTGAAATAATTTTGATATAAAAGTCCTTTTTATCCCTTTTGTTCATGTCAAACACTGCAGATTTTGAAACCATGATCTGTTCCGCAATTTGGCGAGTTTTTTTCAGAATCAATATACTCTAATATTTTAGATTTTTTCGGCCAGTGTAAGAATCTTATGTGCTCGTTTGATTGGAACTATTACGTTTAACCCGCTCTAGAATCCAATACATAAGAATAGACTCAGTTCATAAACAAAATGTAAACGTTTTTGCTTGTCCAGATTTGAAATTCTGAGATTTCGCGTATGATTTCTTTGCTCCCCGGATTTCAGGGGCAAATGTTTTATAATTTATAATGCCCGAATAATAGCCGTGTCCGAATTACTGGAGTGCCCGTTCTAGAGAGTTCTGGACTATTGAAGTTATACAGGGTTGTTCACCACATACGACACGGAGTATTGTAGCTAAACGATGAGATTTTTACAAATTGTAAGTTTTGGGTTCGATGAAGGACTATTAGAGGTACAATTTAAAAATAATTTTACAAGATACAGAGTGTCCCAAATAAGTAAAAAATATCAAAGTTGTATTTTTTCAAATGGAACACCCTGTATATTATTACATTTTTAGTTTCTACGATTAAAATAAAGGTAAATTTGATTAAGATTTATTATACTTAAACCTTACCGTTTTTGAAATATTTTCAATTTTGTGAAATTGCAGTAAAAAGGCTTCATTTCTCCAAGGGTATCAAAGTTTTTGATACTAAATATTTACTGAAGTTTATTTAATCAGTTATTGTGTTGCAATAATAAAAATAATACTACCTTATACAGAGTGTCTAAAAATTTATTTTAAATAATTATTAGCTTCAAACGGCAATAACTTGTTTAATTTAAATGGAACACCCTGTATATTTTACGAGAATCAGATGCACAATTTAATTGTCTATCAAATTGTAATTATACCATTTTTACCTATCTCTTTAAGTTTCCGTAGAAAATGCATTTTCTTGTAATTTAGAACTTATTTATCAATATACCCATGGACTATTGACATTTTAGATTATTTTTAAAGATGTACCAAATTTTTAGAGTACTAAAGAGTACAGATACTAATATTGTCGATATAATTCGTTTATTTCATTAAAAAAATAAAAAAAAACTGTTTAAATATTTGTTAAAGAGGACCAATTAATATATGATTCCAGTATTCAAACTACATTAACTGACTGTTTGCGTTGATTAATAATAATTGCTCCAAATACTAAAAAACTGAATTTTGTATGGGCATTAGACAGTGTGATAAAAAGTAACACCACAGACTAACCTAAACAGATGCGACAAACAATGCAAATCTGAAAATTACATTTTGGCGAATGCGCCAGGCAAATTTTTCCGTTAGATTTGTCATATAGGCGAATTTTACAGCGGACCAGCAAAGTAACCTCCATTCGTTTACTAAAGCCACGCCTCCTTTGTGTAGAAAATATAAGAATTTTTGTAGTTCGGAATCAAATAGAGATGATTATAATTTCATTATTTTTTTCAATTTTGATACATTCACAATCTATACCTACTAATATACCTATATAAAATTCTTAACCACTCAACGTAAGAAGCTCAATTTTGGCATACAGGTTGATTCTAGGGTGTAGAGGTTCGATAGGAAGAGATTTTTCGAAATTCAGTTCAAGGGGGGTGAAACCATCCCTCAAATATTACAATATTTTTATTTAAAAAACAGCCAAGTTTCCGAAAAAACGCTTAAGCACATATATTTTATTTTGTGTTTTTTACATATTTTAAGATTTTTTAAAAATTTATACAGGGTGTTTCATAAAATATGACCATTGAGTAATCCACGATTCTGCTTAAACTGCTTGACGTTTAAAGCTGATTTTTGGCAAAACGGATTGACTGTGGGGTGTAGAGATTCGATAAGGAGGATTCGATAAGGAGGGATTCAAGAGGGTGAACATGCATGCCCCTCAAATATTACAATATTTGTTATTTAAAAACGATTGGTCTTTCAGGAAAACGCTTGGACACGTATAATTTATTTTGTTTTTACATATTTTGAATTTTTAAAAAATCATACAGAGTGTTCAAAAAAAGTTGGGTAGGTAATTTGATTAACTACGATTCTGCTTAAACTGCTTGACGTAAAAATTATTATTTTGGCAAAGAGATGTTTCGAAAGTCAAATTCCAACGAGATGAAACTACCCGTCAAATATTACCAAGTTATATAATAATATCGCTATATTGTTTTCTCAGGCTCAGGACATAAATGTGAGAAAATTTTATCCAGTTTGTATGTTAATGGAAATTCTTGCTTTGCTTTATCATCACCATTACAAATGATTAATTCGACGCGAACGAAGTCGCAGGTACACACGCTAGTAATTAATAATAACTAAAAGATATTAATACATTTTAAAAAAAGGTTTTTTACTATTAGGTTTTTTTATGTATTTCTTATTTTATATTATATAATTTCTAACTATATAATTATTAGAAAGTGACTCCGCTGCCGGCGCCGGTTCCCTTAATGGTTGCCGTCTCCTGTTCCATTGACGATTTTGCGAGAGCAGCTGTGGCTCCGTTACTGAGACTGAGGCCATCACTTCGTGAACGAGAGGTCCGTGGTTCAAATCTCACGCCAAACTAGAATTTTTTTATTTTTTTACTGCTGTTTTTATTTAAAAAAAAGCTGTAAATATTTAATAGCAACCAAAATACGGATTGCGTTGGTTTCACTCTTTTTGGTGAGGTTAGATTGATTATTTGGTGGAGTTAGTTGCGTTGGTTATTTGGTGGTGTTGATTGCATTGGATAGGTTAGCTATTATTATTTAGCTAGGTGGGGTTGGTTTGGTTTTTACTAATTTACATTTGTTTAGCGTTGGTTAGTCTCTGGGGTAAGTTGACATTTTTATTTTCGGAGCCGGCATCTATGCTTCTGAATTGTGGAAGCCGGCGCCGGCAGCGGAGTCACTTTCTATACATATACTTCCGATTACAGGGTGGTCTGGGTCACAATTTCTTTCTTCTTAGTCTAAATACATTTGCAAAACATAAATAAGAGATAAAATTTGTTGACACACCCGACCTCCGTTTTCCGTTTATTATAGGCGCTCTGTGCTCTCAGCTCCATTGGAACGAACTATAATTATTATAATTATCCGTAAATTTCATCTCCCAAAAAAGGAAAAAGTCGGTACAAACATTCCGTAAAATTGGTTCTGGGAGTTTAATATTTTGCACACAAAGGTAAGATAATTCATTCCCTAGAGGTGTGAAATTAGTGGTGGGGAAATTTATATAAAAATTTGTAAAAATCTCGTCCTAAGAATATGCAATAATTTTTGTTATTAATAATTTCAAAAGGTTTCTTAAGTAACACCAATGACTATATGAGAGGCGACTATGAAAATTCATCCCCCGAGGAGGGTAAAATTAGGGCTGAACAATTATAAAAAGCAAAACATAAAATAAAACCTGTTCATTCAAAACATTACACAATAAAAGGTTTCTCTAGGGATTCAATAAAAAAAATCCATCTCTTAAAGAAGGGAAAAATGATTGTAAATATTCGTTAATATTTGGTATAGAAGTATGATATTTCGGTGTGGCATACTTACAGAAGCGTTTTCTCGAAACTCATTTCTAAAGGGAGTAAAATTAAGGGCAAAATTTTATGAAAATTCGTTACTACTATGTGATTTAGAACTACATAATATTTATGAATTAAAATTTGGCCAAATATGCTTAAGTATAATTGGGAAGCAATA